CGTTGAATCAGTTCAAATTGCACGCGACCTGTTCTTAGTAATTCGTGGTTCCCTTCATGATCGTCCTCATGCGTCACCTGTTATCGTCAGGTGGATCGGATTTGGATGGCCCAACTATCCGTCGACATCCTGACGGATCGATCATGGGACCACCATCGGGAATACAGGGGATGTCCAGCACGTGCGGGTAACGTTAACCTGCGCTCCCCGTCTTACGACAGAGACCCTAAACACTGTAGGTGTTACGACAAAGAGAATGATTATTGGGAGTGCCCAAGCTGCAGGAATAACTACGGGCAGGTTAAACCTGGCCACCTATGTGCGCCCAGCAAATGCAGATTTGCCAAACCGTGGAAGTTGTCCGACAACCACGGACAGGAGCCTCCCGTTCTTGCCGAACAAGCGGCCCCACCATTTGCGGCGGCAGCTGCTCCCGACGCACCACCACCTGCGGCGGCAGCTGCATCCGAGGCACCAGCTGCCAAACGAACTGCGCGGCTACGAGTTCCGAGGCCTGGTTCCAGAGCTGGACCAATAGCAGGTGCCAGCAGCCGCGACATCACAGCAGGCAGACATGCCGCTGAAACGGCTGAGTTGCAACCTGCTTCACATGGAGCCAAGTGGAGCAGGCAGCTCGGACGATCGCAGACGACTACCGCGAATGATGGCTAGACGAGGGCGACAGCAAGGAGGGGTTCCACCTCCACCGCCACCGGCGGGTAACCCTGCTGCTCGTCCAAGGCCTGCAGACTGGTCAAGGTTCGATGTGCAAATACGTCTGCATAACTTGCGCAACCTTGACCCAAGCGTGGTAATGCGCGAGTTGCGAAAGCTACACTTGCGGTGGTTCCACGCCAAAGTGCCTAAGATGAGATTCATCTTATCCAAGGCTGGTCCGGACAGCGTCAGGTTAAACTTGATAGAAGGCGTCTGTGATACATGTTGGGGGTGCAGGGCTTGGGACAAACCGGGGCATGCCGTCATGCCGTCTACTGCGCTACTTGGCAAGTTTAACGAAGTAGTCGAAAACGATATGATGTTCTATCAACAGAGACACAACATACTTCATATAATCGATCGTTGTATTCGATATGGTGATGCAATCGAGGTACCATATAAAACCATGACCAGCATCTTAGATGCGTATCATCAGTGCTGGTTGAACTCAACAGGTTAGACAGGCCTTTCTGTCCACCCGTCTACTGCACGAAGCCTTGTTTGCCGCAAGTGCGTTTGCCCTTTGCAGTGAGGTATCTCCATGCAATGCACTGTTCGGCCGGCAGCCGGCGATGCTACCTGACTGACCTGTTCTGGACCACGAACAGCAGACTGAAACATCCGCCCACTCTCGAGAACAGACTATCCGCCGGGTAAGCATTGAGGATATTACGCACGCCACTGCAGTAGCAAAGACGAAGCGTGCACTACGGACCCGGACTACTATATTTGGTCAGCATTACTATGACGAAGGAGGTCTGGTTGACTATCATCGTCCCGCTACTACAAAGGACGACTGGGGTGGCTGGAATGGGCCCTTCCGGGTCGTGCGGAATGATCCCGACAGGGGTCAAGTCATCGTGGGAGTGGGGAACCGCGACGTACAAGTCCAGTGCGGCGATGCACGACATTCGCTACACATTGAAGCTCTGATCGCTCGAGAGATTGGCTCGGACAACGCAGCGTTGCGGACTGTGTTGGCATTTTTAGCCAGTCTACCTGCGGGGCGACCTGCCATGACATTTGGCTACCTCCCGACCGCAAGAGTGCTCCAGATGACGAGTGCAAGCCGACTATCTCCTGAAGTGCGCCTAGCTCTTCAGTGCCTCATCAGGAATTTCCTTCGCATCGAGAACGTAGTTTTTGTCGGGGTGGCTAAGAGTGTCCACGAGCTACCTCCGGTGACTTATGCTGGCAGCTGTACATTGGTGTCCTATGACAATGACGTGAATCCAGGCTTCAATTACTACTAAAGCGAAGGCACTGCCCTAAACATACATTATACAACTGGATCAGCATATTCCAGGATTATCCAGTGCCTGAAGTCCACCAAACCTCACGCGGGCTTCGACCGAGACACGACGAAGTTCGAAGAACTGGCCGACGTACCAATGCAAGGCAACGACGCCAGGGAAGCCCCAGAAGTCGAACCACCACAGGAAGACGGACGGCTTTCCCACCATGTATAAGGAATCAGAGGGGGACTTCGAGGCACGCATGATGGAAGTGTGGTGCGCAGAACTGCAAGACGAAAAGGTAACTACTGGAGGCAACTCCAATAGAGGTCCTCTACACTGTACCCACGCAGATGATTGCCGACAACAGCGTGCTGGTCACAGTAGCTGAAGAACAGCGGGGGCACCTGCCTACGCGGGGTAACCCGCAGGGCATGGATGCGACATAGACATATCATGTCCCACTAAGTTCCACGGACGAAGACAGCAGTTATGCATTGGACTCTGACGAGCACGGACAGCGTGTATAATTCTGCTTCACGGCAGACATGTCAATGGTAGTCCTATCCGAACAACAACACATAATGCAAGACTTCGACCGTGTGACTACCATGCGAGTGTGCGTGTGACCGCTGCAGCTAATCGAGCTGTAGTCGTCAATGGGAACGACCTTCTCACGAAGTCTGATATCCAGGCGAATCCAGTTAAGGTGTCGAGGGCCGTTCGCACTGAACGCAAGACATGGATTGACAATGAGTGTTTCAAAATGCAAGCTATATCCAAAGCGTCAAACATCATGACTCTGGGATACATATATCAATGGGAATTCGCCAAGAACGAGAAGGGCGAGATGGATCGTACCATCAGACTACGCTCTGTACTTCCGGTATTCATGGACTTCGAAGCCTTCCGATGTGGAGACGTTTTCAGGAACGGCGCGGCGGTCGAGTCAGCGACTACTTGCCAGCGCGGCAGCGTGCAGAGAGCAGTGGGTCATTGCTTCCCATGACATCAACATTGTTTTTCCGCGAGGATTCGCTTACCAGGAACTTGCTGAAGCAACCGGTGAAAAGGAAAGTGCGGTGTGCTTTGCATTGTCACCCGGATCAGCGTCGGTGCTCAGGTCCCGCCCAGAATTTGGGCATTACGACGGGCCGATGCACTGTTTGAATCGCCTCAAACCAGGTACTGGCACCACGGGTGCACCGAGAGCCGTCTCACTGAGGCGCAGAAAGACCAATGGGGGCTTTGGCCTCAATCCCACGTCCTACGACGAGGAGTTCGAGACAAGGTCTAGCCTTCTTACAGCCAAGCATGTTGCTGACGCGGCCGGTATTGAGGACACTAGCGACAAGTGCGTCAAATGTGTTGAGGATGCTCTCGGTGAATGTAAACACAACAAACGCCAATGCACATGCTGTGCTGCGAGGTACACGAAGGACGGCTACGGTGATGTTACACTTGATCAAGACGAATATATAATACAGCTCCGTCTTATCCATCATCAAGAACTCACGGGCGCAGTCGCTGAGGCCAAGGCGTCGAAGATGGTCGTCGACATGTTTGTCAGCCTTAGAGGCGCTTTGGCTTAGTCTCTCATCACACCGGCGCGGTTAATGGTATATGTTGTGTCTCTACAACGTTTCCAAGAGCCGACTGACATGCAAGTGCGACGACTGAGCGCGGCTGCCAGGAAATTGCAGGCCTGCCCTGAGAAGATCCTCTATCAAGCGGTGGCTCCGACGGGCGAGGTCGACCTGCGCAGCGACTCCAGTTGCCGATGTCTGAGCGGAGATGCTGATGACGAGGTCAAAGGCTATGGTATTCGCGGGGCAATCCTGCTCTGGCGTGGACGCGCATGCTGGTGAGCCCGTCGTCCATCTTGTCGACGCATGCTGCAAGTCTCATCGCTTGCAGGTCCGCTCGAGCTGCTCAGCAGAAACACTTGCAGCAACCCATAATTTGGAGGACTGCTATCCCACGATCGTTACTCTGCGCGAACTTCACGCAGGGCCGCTGACGCCCACTCAGTTGAAGAACATACTTCCGATGAATGGCCTGAGCATAAGGGCCACTTTGGCCATCGAAGCAGAATCTGTCTTCGAGTCCGCGTCGAGCAAAGACCTGAAGAAGCCGACTGGGTGTGCACTTTTGGGACACATCAGTTGGATGCGACAGATGATAGAGCGAGGTACCGTGCATTGTGTACAGTGGTGTGACACTCGCGATATGGCCGCGCACGGCCACACCAAAGGGGACATCGACAGAGACATGCTTCTACAAGTCATGGGGGGAACGTAATCCTTCAAGCATGAGTTACAATCACACACTCCAGACATAACCGCTTGAGGAGTAGCCATCTACAAGGTAACTTGCCTGTGAGGCAACTTGCTTGCAAGGGAACTTGCGGGTCAACCTGCCTTGTTGAGCCCGCCTGCTGATGCATACTTTGTATATATCGTTTTTGCTGTATAGCTGGCGGCGGACTCGCGCTTCGTCTCCCCCCCCCGACTCCAAAGGAGGCTGGGGCAAAGGCGAGAGATAGCGAGCGCTTGTCCGCGGCCGTTTGTGCTCGAGCGGCCGGCCGCCAATCTATGACTGTGCCTCGTCGCGAGGCTCACTATTTGCCACTGGTCCGGAAACGCTTTCGCTTGACATGGGCCGTCGCTCCCGCGACGATCTCCTACTTCTGGGACAATCGTTTGCTACGGTACAGCGGAGTTGGATATGGGCTTCGCTTGAGGCGAAGCGTACGGTTGGGCTTCGCACCCCCCCTCAAACTGAAACGTGTATTGAACAAATCACGACGTCGGAGGTATGGACTCCTTCTCCCCCTTCATCGACCTCATTCCAATGAAGGAGGACATGGACGCAGCTGTCTTTCTAGTTGCATATTCTTGACAAGCAGTGACTCGATTGCCCCGGACCCAGTATCATGTCCACAGGACGGTGGACAGTGGGGTATGATTGCAAAGCGGATGTAAATGTACGTGAAGCATCGATGCATGATGGAACCAGCCTGCAGCCACATGTCCGTCGCCGTTCTGTCTCAAGCGACGGCGTAAGCCATTTGGTATCAGGCTTGTCGTCGTTACGTTGTGATTCGCTATTGCGATGGAGCCGAGTTCAGATCTTCGCTATCGAGGCACCGACGCCGACAGCAATCCTGTTCGGCAGGACGAGTCTGCGATTGCAAGCGTTCGCGATGTACCCAACTTCTCACCCGTTGAAGTGGACATCGGTGCGATGTGGAGTGCGCTAAAGGACGTGAATGTTTCGGAATGGCACGTTGATCAGATTCGACGCCGATTGGAAGAATGTAATGTCGTAGTGCCTAGATTTCTACTTGACAAAAATCACCCTCACCATTTACCACCTCATGCTGCCGTCATCGATTTGCTGCTGCACAACGCCCGTCTGGATCAGTCGTCCGTCTGTGCACGTCGCCCCGGTCTCGGCCTGGAGCTATGGCTGTGGACCCCTTTCGCAATGGTCGGGTCTCTTGTGCAGCTGCTTTTGGAAGTCTTTGGCGGAGTCGGAGCCGTTTGGGGGTGTGCAGAGGTGCTCAACCTGCGAGAAGGCCTGCACCCAGCGTGGCAAGTTACATCGCTCGTTGTTGGCATCATCTGCTTTGCGCGCTTCTGTGTACTGCACGCGTCACTGTCGACGGACCGCTCGTTCTTGCAGGAACATCCGCGCTTCGTCCGCCTGCCGGGCCTCTCGAAGCTGCAGGCCGTGTGCCGCAGCCCGTTCCAGTTTTTGTTTCATTACCACCATTGAGCAAGTTCGGGTGTTGCCCGGTGTTGCTAGAGGTGTCCCTGGCCCAAGGTGCCCCCAGGATTTCCAAGGAGACCCCCACGGCCTCCAGAGCACCCCTCACGAGGCCCAGGGGGCCCCAGGGGGCTCCAAGATGGAGCGGAAAGCTGGGGTACCCTGGGCCAGGGGCACTCTCAGCACCCCCCGACAAGTTGTCGTGGCCATCTCCCTCCATGGTACAGCGATGGCAGCCCGGCAGCCAGGGCAATGGCCGACGAGTGTGGACACGAGGGCGCCTCCGCGCTGCGCGGCCAGGCGCGGGCTCGACGCGCCGCGTGCGCGGCGTGGTGGAAGTGTCCGCGCCGAGTATCGGCAAGACGAGCTCGACGGCAGTGCGCAGGCCGCAGACACTGCCGCAGGCTGCTTCCTGTTCCTCCGCCTCCTTGTCGTCGCCGCCATCGTCGTCTTCCCTCGCCTCTCTGATCGATCGTGCTGTGCGAGACACGTGAGGCCTGAGGCACAAAAGTTGCCGCAGTCAGGTTCTTCCTCTTCCGCCACTTCGTCGTCGTCGTCGTCGCTCGCATCCTGCTCCTCCTCTTCCTCCTCCTCCTCCTCCTCGTCTTCCCGACCCAATACCATTTCGTGCCTAAGTGTGCCACGCTGTTTAGTTGCGCGCGTCATTCAGCCGCGGAGCCGTAGCCACAGCAGTCCGTGCCTAAACGTATTCAGCTCCCGCAGAACGGTATTCGCCGCTGTGGCAAGGGTGACAAGGCACAACGCTCCTGATAAAAAAGTGTTGATTGTTGCTCAACACATTCATCGTATATTTTGCCCACGCAATGTCTCAGGTTATTTGTCTTTTAAGGATCTGGGCCTGCGGGCCGCTCTGGCCGCCATGTGGCCGCCGTCGCCGCCTCCTCGCCGCCCGCCGCCTCGTCGCCGCCCGCTTTGCATCGCTTCGCATTGCTTTGCATTGCTTTGCATTGCTTGGGATTGCATTGCTTGGCATTGTTTGGAATTGCTTGGCACTGCTTTACGTTGATTAAGTTTCCTTCTGCAATAAGAATAGATTCTACCCCCCCCTTGGAATTGTCGATCCCGGATTCGTATTGCAAATTACATCTGATTCTGTCCCATCGTCCATCCCACTTCTGAATTCATATTATCCCAGCCAGGCCGGTATCGACCCCCCCGCCATCCTCTGCAACAAAAATTGTGCGCGCACTATCCTTGCAACAAATGGGACGGAGTGCACACGCGCGCGTCGTCGCGCGCGCATGCCGAAATCCTTCAAACATTTTCGGTTTCGGAAGGATTTCAGAATCGAGTTTCCAAAAAACATTCCAAAATATTGGGTTTCGCAACGCTGATGTTCTAAAAAAAGCTTGCACGCGCGCTCTTGCGAAATCTTAAGAAAACCATAGGTTTTTCAACACTATCAAAACATACTACCAAACGGGATTCGCGCGCGCATGTCGAAATCGTTCGATCGCCCTTGCGCGCGTGCCGTCGCGAGAATCCTTTGCAAAACATTTGACGAAGTAAATGCCCGCGCGTCGCGCATGCCGAAATCCTTCAAAAACCTGCGGATTCGGAAGGATTTCAACATCGAGTGCCCCAAAAACATACAAAACCACAGGGTTTCGCAACACGGATTTTCAACAAAAGCGTGCGCGCGCGCTCTTGCATCGTTGTCGTCGTCGTCGTCGTCGTCGCCGTCCTCCCTCCTCCCTCGTCGTCGTCGTCGTCGCCGTCGTCGTCGTCTGTCTTTCCTCGTCGTCGTCGTCCTCTTTGGCGTCGTCGTCGTTTCCGTCGTCGTTGTCGCCGTGGTCGTCCTTTCTCCTCTCTCGTCGTTGTCGTCGTCCGTCGTTGGCGTCTCGTCGTCGTCCCTCCTATTTCGTCGCCGTCGTCGTCGTCGTCGTCGTCGTCGTCGTCGTCGTTGTCGTCTTCCCTCCTCCCTCGTCGTTGTCGTCGTCGGCGTCGCCGTCCTCCCTCCTTCTTCGTCGTTCGCGTCGTCGCCGTCCTCCCTCCTCTCTCGTCGTTGTCGTCTTTGTCACCGTCGTCGTCCTCCCTCCTCTCTCGTCGTCGTCGTCGGCGTCGGCGACGTCGTCGTCGTCGTCGTCGTTGTCTTTGTCGTCGTCGTCGTCGGCGTCGTCGTCGTCGTCGGCGTCGACTTCGTCGTCGTCGTCCTCGCAGCCGGCGTCGTCATCGCCGTCGGCGCCGTCGGCGTCGTCATCGTCGTCGTCGGCGTCGTCGTCGTCGTCGGTGTCGCCGTCGTCGTCGTCGTCGTCGTCGTCGTTGTCGTCGTCGTCGAAATCGTCGGAGACGTCGTCGGTGTCGTCGTAGTCGTCGTCGGCGTAGTCGTCGTGGTCGTTGTCGCTGTCGTCGTCGGCGTTGCTGTCGTTGCCAAGTGTCAATTGGTACCAACCGTCGCCGTCTAAAGAAGTCTTGCGACCAAGTTGCAGGTTGGAGGGTGGGATGTTTTCAAGAGCAGTTTAGAGGACAGCTTCAAGACAGTCAAAGTGAGTTGCACCACGTATATTCTCCCTTCAACAAGTAAGGATCTACGAACCCCCCCTGGGATTATCCGCTCGCTTTTTTGCATTGCAATTTAGACCTTATTCTGCCACATCGTTCATTCTAGATCGGAATTCATACTGTCCCAGGCACGCCGGTATCGTCCCCCCTACCACTATCACTTGGAAAACATGCAATGCGCGCGCATTCGTTCATCGGAATGATTCGAGCCCCTTGCTGAAAACGGGACGAAGTGCGCACGCGCGCGTCGTCGCGTGCGCATGCCGAGATTCTTCAGAACTTCTTAAATTCGTAAAGACTCAAAATCGAGTGTTCTGGAAACGTACGCAATTTGCAACATCCGCTTTGGAAAAAAAAAGTATGCGCGCTTGCGAATTCTTCAGGAAACCATCCAGTTTTCAGCACTTTCATTAGATGCGACCAAACGGGCCTCTCGCGCGCGCGTGTCGAAATTATTTGAACGCCCTTGCGCGCTTGCTGGGGGGCTGGGTCCCTGTCAAATAATACAATGCGAGCCGCTCGCGCCCGTCGGCCGCTCGCGCATATCGCAATCTTTCCAAATCCGTCATCACCGACGCGTGGACACCATCATAGTCATCGGGGTGATCAGCATCGGCGCCGTCATTTGCCTTGCCGTCGTCATCGTCATCGTCGTCACTAACCGTTAATATCACTGGAACCATCATCGTGTCTGCCAGCGTCGACGTCGCTATGATACCGCGCCCGCCTGAGTCACCGACTCGCACTGAAGTGCCCGCTGGGAAGCGCAGCGGTCGGCGCCGCCGCGGCCGCGTCGGTCGCGCCAAGCTAGCTGGCCGCTGAGCGCGCGATCATGCGCGGGCTAGCGCGGCCGCAGAGATGCACCTGGCAACATTAAGCAGTCATCGCCATCGCCGCCGCGTGGGTTTTGCAAACCAAGTTGCGCGAGGGTGGGTGGCGTGATTGCGAGAGCAGTGGAGTTGACAACTGAATGAATTTGAATTTTATCTGCACGCGTAGATAACCGCGTCGATTGCACTGCAGATGTTCTTGTCTCAAATCAGCATTAGGATTTACCCCGCAGCGGTCGCGCCGAGGAGCGAAGGAATCCACGGCAATCCGCAGCAATCCGCCTCCCTGGGGATGTGCAATTTACATATGTATCTGCCCCTGCGTTCGTTATCCGTCAGAAATCACACCATCCCAGCCAAACCAGGTTTCACCTTCCCCCAACCCTTGACAAATGAGATATGCGCCTGCGCTCGCTGACATAAATTCACCAAGTTTAAGAATCCCCAGCCGAAGTTTGACAAAGTCCACGCGGTCGCGGCGTCTCGCGCGCGTGCCGAAATCCGCCAGCATTTTTAGCTGTCGCATGGGCTGCAAGGTCGAGGTTCCCAAATGCATGTGAAACAATCTATGGTATTGCAATGTGATTTCTAACCAGAAGTCGGCGCGCGCTCTTGCGAATATTTGGGAACGCCACCGGTTTGCAACATTTTCATCAAATTCGACTAAATGGGCCTTGCGCGCGTGTTTCGAAGTCATTCGAACGTCCTTGTGCGCGCGCTGGGGGGCGCAATCCCGTTTAAATAATGCCATGTAGGCCACTCGCGTCTCGCGCCCGTCGGCCGCGCGCGCGTGTCGAAATCTGACCAGACCTTCATCGCCGACGCGTGGGCGCCATCGTCGTCATCGGCGTGGTCAGCATCGGCGCCGTCATTGGTCTTGCAGTCGCCATGTTCTTCATCGCCGCCAGGATCGCTGCAATCATTGTCGCGCGTGAAATTGTCGACGTCACCATGGCGCCGCGCCCGCCGGAGCCACTGGCCCGCGCTGAAGTGCCCGCGCGTCAGTGCGGCCTGCGGGGCGCGCTGGCCAGTCCCCAGCGGTCAGCGCCGCCGCGGCCGCGTCGGTCGCGCCAGACTAGCTGGCCTTCCTGCGTGCGAGCCTGCGCGCGCTAGCGCTGTCGCAGCGATGCGCCAGCCAGCGCCTCGCAGTCGTCGCAACCGCCGCCGCGTTAGTTTTGCAGGCCAGTTAGCGGGTGGGTGGATGTAATGATTGCGGGGGCCGTGGGGTTGACATCTCGCTGCGAACGTATATTAATTCTTCTCTCTAAGAGAGAATTCGGATATGCACCCCTGGGGTTATCCGGGCCCTGTGAGGATGGGCAGGTCGCTTGTGATTCCATAGGACATCGTGGCATCCCCGGCCGAATCGGCATCGACCCCCCTCGCTCGTCCTCGTCGAATAATATTATGCGAGCGCATTCGTTCACTACGAATCATCAACTTTCAAGAACCCCCTGCCACAAATGTGACAGTCCACGGGCGCGCGGCGTCGCGCGCGCATGCCGAAAGACATCGGCACTTGTAGGTTTTGAAAGGATTTCGGAATCGAGTTTCCCTAGACATATGGAACAGTCGTTGCTTTTGCAACGTGTTTTTTTGTAAAACAAGTCAGCGCGCGCGCTGTGGCTAATTCTTGGGGGCGCCATCAGCTTCCAAAATTTTCATCAATTTCGACCAAACTGGCCTCTTGCGCGAGCGTGCCTCGAAATCGTTCGGACGCCCTTGCGCGCG